GCATTTTAGATGATATTCTCTATAACACCCTCTTTGGTTCCAGAATGCTATCAAATCTGACAACTGGAAGGAATTGGACTGACTCTGATGAATGGGCGGGGCTGACTCTGGAATGGGCGGGGCTGACTCTGGTGCAGCTCCGCCTTTGTTGTTCTGCAGCGAGCACCACTTGGAGAAGAGGAGCCACACAACATGAGTTCATAAAGCTGGCGCCATCTGCTGGATAGGTAGCGCAATATCGGCCGTCTTTTTGGCCGATAGCCGATACTGTTAATGACCCCAATATCAGCCGCCCATAATATCGGTCGGCCGATATATCGGTCGGGCCCTACTGTGAACATTACTGAATTTTCTGATTAGTGTAAAGAATATTATTATTAGCAGGTCTGGATCTAAATCGGGTCGGTCTGAGGTATAAAACTCTGCCCTGAGGCTAAAGCCCTGCAGATAGATTTAGTTTCTATAAACATCAACAACTAATAAATAACAGCAGCCGGATTCTACTTCGTTCCTTAAATTGACTCGCCTAGTTTTGCAAGTTCTGCAGCTCTGCCAGCTGACACAGCTGGTGCCCCCAGAACCCCCTAGAGTAGTTTAATACTCATCATCTTTTTCATGTGTGCTCTTTGGTGCTGGTGCACACCTTGTGGTAGAAAATGAACTGGATATATATATATATATATATATATATATATATATATATATATATATATACATACATACATACATACATACATATATACATACATATATATATATATATATATATATATATATATATATATATATATATATATATATATATATATATATATACAGGTGCTGGCCAGTAAATTAGAATATCATCAAAAGGTTGAAAATATTTCAGTAATTCCATTCAAAATGTGAAACTTGTACATTATATTCATGCAATGCACACAGACCAATGTATTTCCGATGTTTATTACGTTTAATTTTGATATTTATAGGTGACAACCAATGAAAACATCAAATCTGGTATCTCAGAAAATTAGAATATTCTAAAGGCCAATGAAAAAATGTTTGTTTCTCTAATGTTGGCCAACTGAAAAGAATGAACATGAAAAGAATGTGCATGTATAGCACTCAATACTTAGTCGGGGCTCCTTTTGCCTCAATAACTGCAGTAATGCGGCGTGGCATGGACTCGATCAGTCTGTGGCACTGCTCAGGTGTTATGAGAGCCCAGGTTGCTCTGATAGTCGTCTTCAGCTCCTCTGCATTGTTGGGTCTAGCGTATTGCATCCTCCGCTTCACAATACCCCATAGATTTTCTATGGGGTTAAGGTCAGGCGAGTTTGCTGGCCAATCAAGGACAGGGATACCATGGTCCTTGAACCAGGTGCTGGTGGTTTTGGCACTGTGTGCAGGTGCCAAGTCCTGTTGAAAGGTGAAGTCTGCATCCCCATAAAGTTGGTCAGCAGCAGGAAGCATGAAGTGCTCTAAAACTTCCTGGTAGACGGCTGCATTGACCCTGGACCTCAGGAAACAGAGTGGGCCAACACCGGCAGATGACATGGCACCCCACACCATCACTGACGGTGGAAACTTTACACTGGACCTCATGCAACGTGGATTCTGTGCTTCTCCGCTCTTCCTCCAGACTCTGGGTCCTTGATTTCCAAAGGAAATGCAGAACTTGCTTTCATCAGAAAACATAACTTTGGACCACTCAGCATCAGTCCAGTCCTTTTTGTCCTTGGCCCAGGCGAGACGCTTCTTGCGCTGTTTCTTGTTCAAGAGTGGCTTGACACACGGAATGCGACACCTGAATCCCATGTCTTTCATGAGTCTCCTCGTGGTGGTTCTTGAAGCGCTGACTCCAGCTGCAGTCCACTCTTTGTGGATCTCCCCCACATTTTTGAATGGGTTTGTCGTCACAATTCTCTGCAGGGTGCGGTTATCCCTAGAGCTTGTACACTTTTTTCTACCAAATTCTTTCCGTCCCTTCGCCTGTCTGTTAATGTGCTTGGACACAGAGCTCTGCGAACAGCCAGCTTCTTTAGCAATCACCTTTTGTGTCTTGCCCTCCTTGTGCAAGGTGTCAATGATTGTCTTTTGGACAGCTGTTAAGTCAGAAGTCTTCCCCATGATTGTGGTGCCTTCAAAACAAGACTGAGGGACCTTTTAAAGGCCTTTGCAGGTGTTTTGAGTAAATCAGCTGATTAGAGTGGCAGCAGGTGTCTTCTATATTCAGCCTTTTCAGAATATTCTAATTTTTTGAGATACCAAATTTGGAGTTTTCATTAGTTGTCACTTATGAATATCAAATTTAAATGTAATGAACATTGGAAATACATTGGTCTGTGTGCATTGCATGAATATAATGTACAAGTTTCACGTTTTGAATGGAATTACTGAAATATTTTCAACCTTTTGATGATATTCTAATTTACTGGCCAGCACCTGTATATATATATATATATATATATACCGTAAATCCTCTAATACAGGCCCGGGCCTGTATTTGACTCAAGCTCATCAAGCTCCAGGCCTTTATTGGAAGGAGGGCCAGTATTAGAGGCAGGCCTCTATTTCTATTTGAGCAAAATGAACTAATGGTTCGCTGGAGTTTTTGACAATTAAAATTGCGCCCACATTTTCAAAGTTAAACACATTTCTTTTAACAACGATAGTTTCTGCTTCAGCCCTCTCCCTCCTCCCCCTGCTTCAGCCCTCTCCCTCCTCCCCCTGCTTCAGCCCTCTCCCCCCTCCCCCTGCTTCAGCCCTCTCCCCCCTCCCCCTGCGCAGCAGCCGCAAACTCACTGATGCGCCTGCAGCCTCTCAGAGTTCCTGCTGCTCTAAACATTAAAATAATTATTTCATTTTCTGTTCCTCACTTCTGTTTACCTTCAATGGTGTCTGTTTGTTGCAACCACCAGATACAAAAACTAACTTTATTTGACTATTTTTCTGTCCTGCCTCTGTTTATTATCTTCCTGCATCTCCTCTCAATCCTAAAGAGAAACTGCTACCTGGGTTCATATATTTTCACCTTATGAGTTACCTTTGAACTGCAGTTCTAAAAGATCTACCGACCACAAAAACAGCCGAGTGCTCGCTGCTTGGCGGCCGCATCAGTGATCTGTGCGTCGGAGGACAAGGTGTTTCCCGCTCCACAGCAGCGAAACACATCAGGCGCAAATAAAAGATAGAAAACTTTAAAGGAAATGAACCAACATGAACGATCGCGTGTCAGTACCGACGCTCTGGCACAGCGCGTTGCCCCCCCGAGCGCAGGAGCTTGTCACCTGCTGACAGCAGGCTGCTGTCTTTTCCGAGGACTACATCTTGCCGGTCATTATCACGTGACAGCGACTAGTCAATGACAGGCATAAAAAGTCACTATAGAGAAGTGAAGTCGACTAGTGACTAGTTCATACAACCCCTATTGCTCTCCAGAGTGTTCTGCAGCATAAGCAGCACGTTCTCTTTGAACTTGATATCAAATTTTCGCCTCCTCTTCGTCTCCGCACGGTTAAAGTTACCCTCGCGGTCTATCACTGGCAAATCAAAAGTGAGACGATGACACAACCACCCCCCGTACTTGCTTGTTACCACATTCCACCCGGCCACAATAAGAGACCGGCCATTATTCACCTCCGCTGACTCCGACACCGGCCAAAATTGGAGACCCGGCCTTTAATTGAATACCGGCCTGTAGTGGAGGATTTACGGTGTGTGAGTATATATATATATATATATATATATATATATATATATATATATATATATATATATATATTAGAACAAAAACTGAGATTAAACAGCTTGCAATAAACTCCTATTTAGAGATAATTCAGAGCTGTTTGTTTTTAAAAATGTATGGCTTCTTTTGAATTAACTGGTTTGGGGCAGCCATGGCTAAATGGGGAGAGCGATCATCTATTGAAGACAATTGACACAGGGTCACCTTACTTGGTCCGACTCTGGATTCCAGCTGTACGATTCAGATGGTGGTGCCAGAATTTGGTGACTTCAGTTTGTCCAGAATCACACAAATAAGGTAAAAAAAAAAAAAAAAATCATGAAGGTTAGTCTGTCAGAGCCCGGATCTGAAAAAAGAAGTGTTCCCCCTAGAAAAATGTCACAGGGTTAGCAACAATTACTTGGCAGTAGCAGAGGTCTTTTGCAGACACACATTTAGTTTTTGTGGATGTAAAGTCATCAGTGAGGTCATCAGATGCAGCGCTGCTTCTGAGCTGAGCTGAGTTTATGATTGGCCGGATCAAGTGTTCTTGAGCCTGAAGTTTGAGAAGCTTCACTCGGCAGAAGCAGATGTAACAGGGAAAGGTAGGGGTAGCTTCAAACTTCAGCAGGGGGCACTGTGGATGATTGGGGTTTACTTGAAGATGGATACGTTTTTCCCTCACTTATGACTCTGGAAAAACAGTCCCGGTTTGCTGAGAGGTTTAAAATTATGGTCCACTGCTGGGTAAACACTCTGGCTTAGTGGTGGTTATCTTTAGCATCACCATCTGTAAATATGTGAGAGTGATTCGGGGAAAGGAGGCTGTTTCTCTGGTCATTAATGCACCAGTTTTCCACAGGAGTTAGTTTCTGCAGCAGTTGATATAACAGAAATGGATTTTTAAAGGATGTTCTGTTTTTTACTGCGATCTTAGCTGTGATGGAGTTTTCAGACAGCAGAGGGCAGACTTGTACTTAACCAGAGCCTGAAGACAGGCTTTAAAAGGGCCTGGTTTGTCCTCTGTTAATAAACAAGATGTTTACGGGGTGTTAAGACATTTAAGCGGACCAGTTGAAAGCAGCAGGGGAGCACTTGAGAAAATTACTTATTTTCAGAGCGGTGTCCCTCGTGATTTGAAGCAATAAGTAAAGGGCAGAGGCGTAACGCCACAGCAAAGCTGCAGAGGAATCGGAGCCGAACCTGGAAGCATCGGCGTGTCTACGCCAGGCTCTCGTGTTTGTTCAGTTGCTTGTTATTTGTTGTCATCCTTGTTTTTCACTGACGTCTGCAGGCTTCCATCCTGGACCTGCACTCCGGAGCGCTGTCGATGGGAAAGCAGTTCGTCAACATATACAGGTGGGAGAGCACAGCTTGTCTTGGTTCTGCTGTCTGCCATTTTCCAGAAATAAACTCAGTGTTGTGTGAAGCGGGGCGTCGGTCTTCCTGGCGTTAGTCTTTCAGTTGTCCTCGTAGTCCAGTGAAGCACGCATGTCTCGTTCATCATCAGTGGCAGAATCCAGGCTCATGCGGATCACCTGCCCCCCCTCTGTCCTCCAGGACCAGTGGGTGACATGAACTCAGAGATCCTTGGGCTGATTTTAATCAGGAAGCTGTGACACCATCACACTCCATCTCCCCACCCTTCACTTCCTGTCAGCCTTGGGGCTTCCTGATGTGTAGCAGTCACTCCGCTGTTTAGGATCTGCTCTGTGGCTGGTACATGGAACATCCTCTAGGGCAGTGGTTCCCAACCTTTTTCCCAAGGGATCCCGTTTTTTACCAGTAAAATTTTTGACGACCCCCTCCCATTCTCTCTTCCAGTACAAACATTATTAAGAAATGATAAAATTGTTCAAGCACATTTTAATATGCCTTGATTCAATAGATAACAGTAATAGTAGGCTCCAGTACAGAACAAAGTCATTAACAAAACCAAACAGAGCATAATGTGCTTGACAGTTTGTATCACTTTTCTGAACACATTGTTTCTTGTAAACACTGATAAATCAATCATTCCTTTCAATAAACGTTTGACACATAAAAAATACACAGAGCAAAATGTACTTAAATGTGTATATTACTGTTTATACTAGATTATTTACTGTAAAGGCTGTGATTAATCAACCGGTCCTAGCTTTAATGAACTTTTGACACTTGAAAATAAAACAGTGAGCTGAGCAAAATGTTCTTAAAAGTGTGTTACTCTTTCTGTACTAATTATTTCCCGTCTTAATATCAGTAAACTTTTCACTCATGAAAAAAATGTGAACAAAATGTAGGCTATAAACAAGTAATAAATGAAGTTTTAACCCCTTAAAGTGGAGAGGTCCTGGCGACCCACTGAGAGGCTTTGGCGCCCCCTTGTGGGGGTCGAGACCCCCAGGTTAGGAACCACTGCTCTAGGACACCGGTGTCAAGCTCCGGTCCTCGGGCCATATCTGGCCCGCGATCTATTTATATTTGGCCTACGAGATCATATAAACATATTAAAACCGGCCCGCCAGAGCATTTGGCACAACTACAAATCCCCTAGTGCTTTGTGGTGTTAGCACGTCACTTGACAGTCCGGGAGACCAGCTGTCTTTAGCCGTTCCCTCCTCAGTCTCCAGCAAACTGAAAATGCTCCTCTTACTCAAAGCTGACTTGACTCGGAGATTTGCCGACTTTGAAGCCCAGAAAGTGAGATTTTAACTGCCCAGTGACCCGTTTGCAGCCGACAGAATGCGCACCAACTAACCTCCAGACAGAGCTGGTTGAACTCCAGTTTGGTGACGCGCTGAAGTCAGAGTCTGACTCTCTGGCTGCTGCATACTGACCCAACCCATGTTCAGCAGCACTTATCTATGTGAGCAACTGTTGTCTGTGACATGGACGTAATTTTGGGGGGGGACATGTCCCCCCCACTTTTTCCAAAGTCAAGTTTTGACCCCTGCACTTTTTACCATCCAAAAACAGTATTACGCTATATTAAATTGACACTGGTTGAGCTCTAGGACCAAGCGGAAAACAACTGTTTGTGTTGAAGCCCGTTTCCCATTAGAGCATACTGTAAAGATCTCCCCCCCCCCCCCCCCCTTCTTAAATGAAAATTACGTCCTTGGTCTGTGATGACGATGAGCAAAACAACACCGAAGTCTCACTGATGAACACCTTCCTCAGCTCAGAGCCCAACCCCAGGGATACCGGTGAGCAGAATAAACCAGAGTGAGCTTGAATTATTATGGTTTTTATGCACTTTCACTGCTCCTAGACATGAATAGCTGAAATATAGAATTTTAATAGAAGTTATTTTTTCTTGGATTTGTTGAAAAAGGATTTAACCTACGTGAACAGGAAAGACTACAGATAGATGAGTAGAATAGAAAATCCCTTTATTGTCCCTCAGTGGGCAACGCTTGGTGTCACAGCAGCAAGAGCAAACAATAAGAATAGAGTAGATCGAGATAAAACTGAAATACTTAAAAGATTCAAAATACTCAGATTAAAAATTCAAAAATGATGAGTGTTCACACAAAATAAAAGATGAAAACCAACACAGACGAATATCACTGATGTTTAAACTGCACTTGCTCGTGCGTTTCAGGTTTTTTTCCGGATTGAGTGTTTATGCAAAAATAAGTTTGTTTTCAAATGAAGAGGTTCAAAAATACACATCTGGAGATCAGCGCGTGTGTCATCAGTTGTTCTATTACTGAGCCTGCAACTTGGTCCCGGTTCTTCATTTAGCCCCAGTTTGACATCCCTGCCCTAGGACATTAATTCATACTAACAGAAGCCCTCTGTTTCCCCCCCCCCCCCCCCACCCCGGTCAACCTGCTGTGTGGCGGCGGTGGGGAATGGTGCTGCAGGTATTTTGGAGATCAGATCAGGGACGTCTTCACACAAGAGGATTTTCAGCTTTACAGGTAAACAAGACGCCTTTATTCTAATAACCCTTGTAAGTTGTTGTCATTCAATTACAACTTTTGATCGTAAATCTTATGTCAGGAAGTTATTGATGGAGTATAATGTGACCTAAAGACTATCTCACGAAATCTAGAGCCATCTGAGAGTGTGTGTATGATGGGGATGGCTATCGGCTACTAGCTCTTCATATTGTTGCTCATTAACTGTAAGACTGACTGAGGTGTAACCATGTTCGTGTTTGCTAACGTCAGCTAGCTGTGGCAGCCATCTTGAATGGGGTTGACTCCGACATTAGTTAGCTGTAGACGTGCATCTAATGATTCTTTTCTGAGTTTCATTAAAACACAGCCAAAGTTCTGATGAGTGTCTAAAAGCTTCTGAAGTCTCACCACCTCAACAGTGGTCCCTGTAAGTGCACCAAGTTGACTAAAGTCGCTTTGAATAAAAATTTCTGTGTCCGTTTTTCGTGTTTAGAGACGTCCGAGGGAGAATCCAGGCCATCGTTGCCAGGACGTTTGATTTGGACCCAACTCTGCTATACCTCACCAAGCCCACTTTCTTCTCCAGAATCAACAGCACAGCAGCCAAGACCCAACATGACGAGTACTGGCACCCACACATCGATAAGGTAACTGACCCAAACAGAGCCGCGCCTGGTTTGGCTTCAGATAACGAAGCACAAATCTGTGTTTGCATGACAAGTTAATCTGACCTCATTGTGCAGAGGTGAGGTCAGGGCTGAGCTTTAGACTGAAGCATTTCTGCATCATTTAAAAAGGCTCCAGAGTGTGAAATATACAGCGACAATGAGAGAAGTCTGCTTTTTTCCAGGGTGTGAAGTCAGTCTCACATTCCAGCCATGAGCTTCTGTAGGGGAATTAGGGACTTCACTTGTTTTCTGTTACAGGTGGGCGGTTTATGATATTATGAAACCATGTGATCAACGAAAGTAGAATGTTTTGTCTTGCCTTCTTAATGGCAGGAACTTTTGTTCCTTCAGAGTTTAAACTTGAGTGTGTTTTGTGATGTTTTAAACAGCCAGAACAAGTGAAGCCGAACAAAGGCGAAGTCAAAAGTAGCCAGTGGAGTTCTGGTTTTAATGCTTCACCAGCCATATGGTGTTAAAACCAGTTACGTCCCCCAAACATTTGGCTTGTCGTTCAGTAAAACTTTTCCATATTGTTCCAGTGTTTGTGAGGTAGGTCTTTGAGTAGCAGCTTCCTGCTTGGCCACCCTTGCTCTTCTCTGCTTTTGCAGCAGCTCCGTCTGAACTTGTGTCTGATCGATCCACTAGAAGTTAAATTTGATGGTTTTGAATTAATGTCTAATCTAATGTTTAAAATTTTTTGGGGGGGATTTCTATCCTAAATTGGCTTTAACCCTCCCACTGTCTTTGTGGGTGACCCCTTGAGGAAAGTTGACCATTGAGCAGGGTTGATGGTTTATTCCTTGAGGCCCACGTGGCAGGGGTGAGGTGGTGCTCACTCCTCACCCTTGCCACGTGGACCCAAGGGATAAACCATCAATCTTACTGTGGGAGGGTTAAGATGGGTTATTTTCTGTCTTTTTCTTGTGCAAGACAAGTATCTTTGCTCTCCTGAGTTTTGATCACCATTAAACAGTCAGCTGCTGATGTAAGCCCGTGTCTGCAGTAGTGCTGCAGACGTGATTTCTTCACAACCCTGTGATGTACATCCCGACTTAAAAAAATACAGTTTTTTAACAGATAATTTGAATAGCAGTAAGCAACTTTTTCATATTTTTAAATCATTTTCTTGAGCCAGTATGTGCTAAAATGACCCTTTACAGGGCTAATAAAGCCTCTGTGCCCCTTTTGAGTAGGACACCCTGTCTGCGACTTCAGCCTCTCCGGACCGCTGCCCCGACTCTCCAGTGTTGTTTAAATCAAAACTTAAAACCCCGATGTGCTCATCAGCCTTGACATGAATTGTTTCTTATGCTGCGTCATCTCCACTGTAATCTGTGATGTAATTGATCAACGTTAATTGTTTTCCTTTTAGCTCTAAATTATAATTTTATCTGTGTATATTTTTAATTTGTTTTCTCCTGTTTATGTTTGTGCCATTTCCAGCTAATTGTAAAGCACATTGACTTGTCCGTGTTTGAAATGTGCTACATAAACAAAACTGCCTTGCCTTGCCTAAGTGGTCTCTCAGTCTAGTTAAATTACTGAAATAAATAATTTTACACAGTATTATAATGTTTCCAGTTTCACATAATTGTGTGTTTTTAGTAGCATTTCTGTTGCTGCTAATCTAGTAACGGTTAAATAAACAAATAAAATCCTTTAAAATGACACTAGAAGAGGCACAAGCCTGGTGGAGGACTTACATTTACTAACGTGGGTCAGACCCAACCACAGAAGAGCTGAAGCTGGGTGGTAAACACACACAGGTAGTTCTAATAACACCTGAGCTCCATGACGTCTGAGACTGATGCATCAGTGTTACAGCGGGACTAAAGACATGATCAGAAACAGGTTACAGCTGGATGAGCTAGGAAGGTAGAAGATCAGGACTTCTAAGCGGTGAACAGGTGAGCGGATTTTCGGGACGTCCCGCTGTCACGCCAAGAAGCTGCAGATTCACGCCTGCAGCAGCGAGTCTGTGGATCTGCAGCCGTAGACTATTCATCACGTCTTCCTCGTTCTTCACTGGCTGTGATGCGCTTGGATGAAAACATCTGCCTCTTTAGCTCCCGATTAGCTGATGACAGCTTCAACACACCGCGCTGCTGAATTAGTAACGCACTCATTTTCTTATCAGTAACGGAAACGGGGTCATGATGAAAGGAGTAGGTAATCAATTAGATTACTCGTAATTTTTTTTAGTAACGCCGTTATTTTAAACGGCGTCATTCTCATCACTGCTAGTGACTACTACTCAACAACTGAAGCTATTTCCAACCACCTACCTCACTGCTGGGGGTGTTGCACAGAAACGCGCTCCCCTGTGGAAAATGTTTTTGTTCATTAATTCTTGAACTCGAACCATGTTAGACAGAAGAGATATTGCTGGTTTGCTGGTTGTTTGTACATTTTCTGTTGGTTTCATTTCACTCTTTTTGTCATCTAATCTCATTAGTTTAGCAGCTTTTTCATTAATGCCTCTCCATCTTTGCTGAGTGGCTCTCAACAGCGGGGACGCATCGAATGACAGAAGATCCACTTCACCTCCCAGACTGTCTAGGCCTCTCATTCTGAAGCCAGTTGGCCAACCCAACCCTCATTTGCATGCAAATAGCCTCTGACATCTTCTCGTGGTGGATTTTCCTTCCCCTTGATCATTCAGCTGACATTGTGTCTGAGCCGTAGTCCAGGTGTGATAGTATTCCAGTTTTATCTCGCATCAGCCCTGGACATGGCTGTGTAATGAAACTGAATTACTGCTACAGACCGTGAGGTCACTTGTGTTTAAATTCCTGACCTGGTCTTGTTTTTTGTCGAAAGGAAGCATTTCACTTATTGATCCTCAGATTCTATGATGGTTGTGTAACACCGGTGTAATGTAATGAGATTGGGGGGCTAAATTATGACCCATAAGATTTGATGATTCTATGTAAATATAGAATATCAACCTGATTGACTTTGGAATGTTTAACTAGAAGAATTTAGGAGTCTTTGCTTGTTCAGGGACCATAAACACACTTCGTATCAATTCAGTCAGAGTCAAGTATATAATTAAAAATAAACTTTATTTTCTAGACTAATTATAATACACGACAAGCTATGAATAATGATGTGATGGAATGTAGAGAGAGAAAGGGACACTGTCTGCTCACACAAGAGAGAGGATCGGAGGACACTGCGACTTTTTCATTTGTAGCATTCAGCTTCAGCTCAAACTGTACGACTTCCTCGCTGGGCAGATCTCACAAGTCATGCGCTCACACTGTACGTCTGGTAGCAACACGTCAGACGTTTTTGTCTTGTTTTGCCTGTTGTCCTTCGGGAGTGCTGCAGGAGGACACAGGGATTTATGAGGGTTGGATGAGGAAAACGAAATAAAGAAAGTAAATTTATGTTTTGTGATCAGTTTAATTTGACATGAACACGACAAACACACTTTCTTGACAATCCTTGTCATTGTGTGTAAAAAAACGTTTGGAAATAAAAACGAACGTGTGTTATTAGGGAAATAGGGGGCGAGCGGTGTTAATGCACGATTGCGCATGCGCCGTGAGCGGTACTGGTACTTTTTGGGTCGCAGCCGCTCGCTGCACCGCTTCAACAGTGCGATACCTTCACGAGGAACGAGCAAAATATCAAACACTCCAGAAGTCCGTGCGAGCTCACGATTGCTGATCGGTGGCTATTAACACCAGAACGTGGTGTTAATCGCCTCTCATAACACCCTGTACACTACACGACGCTCGGCGCAAAACTCGCCCCGATCTTGTGGATTCTCGCACGAGTGGAAAATCGGCTCAAAAAAGTGAAAAGTCGCACAGTGTCCGCCCGGTTTTACTCGTGTCATGCTCGTATTTGTCAAAAATGCTTTATCCGTACCGGATACTAGTCTGAAATGAGTATCCGGCTCATCCCTAGCTGTAACCACCCTGGCCTGCCTCCTCCTCCTTGCTGCCTGCCGCCTGTGATCACAAGCAACAACACAGTAGTTCCCGCTGCTTCTTCGGGAAACGGCGCAAAAAAAAAAAATCAATAAAACTTGGGATCTTGTAGGCATGGCGCTGGGATTTCAGCCGTGGCGGGGCGCCACGGCTACGCCTATGTAAGGGAAACACTGGTTCTTATATGTGAAGCCATATCTGTTTGTATTAATGTGGAGGTCGTCTGTATATTTCCTTAGTTGTTATCTAAATACATTCTTTGACTCTAAATATTGCTTGGTGTCTTTCAATAAAGTTCTTATATTTTATTTTGCCCCATTTCATCAACATCAAGAGCTTTTGAGGGTCACCGTTTATCATTTGCTTATATTTTACATTTCCTTAAGAAATTCAAACATATTTTCTCCAAAAAGTGTTGATTTTTGGACTACAAAACTACAACCGCTAAGACTACGACCGCAAGTTTGTTCTGACCAATCAAAATCATAACATGATAACGTAACTTCCATAAGCTTCTTGTTCAGCCAATCCACTACTTTGACGTCATCGGCAGTCGAAGGACCCCGAGCCGATCCTGTACCGACACCGGTAAATCAAGAGCTTTGCCTTCCGGCTCAGCTCTCTTTTTACCACAGTTAGACTGGTACAATGCCCACATCACTGCAGACGCAGCACCAATCTGCCTGTCGATCTCACACCAGTTTTCCCTCACACGTGGATAAGATATTTCAGTTCAGTTTAGAGTCCTTCTTGGTTGCTTTTGTGGAGGGTAACTCTGAAGTGCCTTTTTTCCTCCACCTGAGCCAATCCTCATGTAACCCTCTGATCGTGACTCGGGTTGCGAATGACCACAGTCACCAATTCTTGTCATGTGTCTTTGCCTCTGTCTGTCTGATCTCAGAATCGTGTGTACTGAAACTCTAATTTCCCTCTGGGATTAATAAAGTATCATTGAATTGAATTTACTTAATCAGCTCTCAAAGAAACCAGTTCCTAGAACTTCAGGAAACCCTGGAACCGTTTCAGACCAGCAAGACTAAACATCAGCTCAGAGAGACAAGATTGAAGTTGAAACTTTTCAAAAAAAAAAAAAAAGTGAACTTTATCCAAACCTATAGTGTTTAGAATTTGTTTCTGTAAAAAGAGCCAAAAGTCACTCAAGATCAAATCTGGAGGCTAACTACAACTACGGCTGGTCTTGCTCACTTAAATCATCTTTTCTTTAGGGATCAAATACATTTTTTTTCATTCAATTAAAACATTTTAGGTAAAACAACATCAAGAATTTTTGCTTAGCTCAGCTATTTCTTCAGCAAAACAAACTGGATCGACGTCCTCATTATAGCAGACTGTCCATTCATCCATCTTTAGCTCCATCACTCATAAAGATACTTGAACTCCATTTAAAGCCAGGCCAAGGGGGCGGTGGGTACTTGTGTCTGAGCTCCTGATAGTCAAGTCTTTGCTTGCCGGGACTCAGTTGTGCTCAGCACCGTCATAGGTCACCTCTGTGGGCTCACTAGAAACCACGGTTGGAGGTAGTTGAAGTTGGGTGGCAGACAAGGGCGGGGTCCTGAGTATGCTAATTCCTGGCAATACATTTTTAGCTTTGTTTCTTGTCTCATTTAAAGTAAATGGACAGCCTTGAGTTGCTACATGGATGTTTATCCTTCTAAGGATCAGTATCCTGTTTCTACGGCGGGTTTTTGACACGTTGTTATTCTCTGCCAGGTGACTTATGGCTCTTTTGACTACACCTCTCTCCTCTACCTGTCTGACTATGGCTCAGACTTCACTGGTGGAAGATTTGTCTTCATGGATCAAAATGCCAATCGGACTGTGGAGCCACGGGCAGGTACTAGTAGCTGAATTATTATACACATTTCAATTGACAACAATAACACAAACTTCCTCTAAGGTGCAGAAATGTTTACATGCTCTGAGGCAGGGGTGTCAAACTCATTTTAGCTCAGGGGCCACAAGTGGGCCGGACCGGTAAATTAAAAACAACCTCAGATTGTTTTCTTTGTTTTAATACAATCAATATAAAACAAGGCTGGAGCCTGAGGACAGTGTATCCAAAATAGAACAAGTACAACACCTGAAGTGTACTTGAAAATTTGAAAAAAATAATCAATAAATAAAAAAAAACATTCCTTAGTGATTCAAAGAGCTTACAGATCACATGGCTAGATCAGTTTCATGCAGCACTTAAAATATATTTGACTCATTTTACTTTACATCTTTTAGCTTTCACCAGCACATCGATATCAGGAGTCACATCCTGAGTGGCGGCCGACTTCAGGATGTGTCTCAAGTTCTTATGTGAGCCTTGAGCGCAGCTTTGTTTTATTTATACTCATTACAGAGAAAACTTGCTCACAAAGATAAGTTTATTTTCACTCTACATTGTAAAGTATGAAAATAAAGTTTACACAACCATCTCGCGGGCCGGATTTAACCCGCTTACGGGCCGGATCCGGCCCGCGGGCCGCACATTTGACACCCCTGTTCTGAGGTGATTTTATTTGGTTTTAAAGCTATAATAATAATAATAACTTTGAAAATCTCGTCTGACCTGGCAAATAGTAAATCACAAGACGTAAATCATTTCCCATTTAAAAGGGTAGATCATAAAATCTGTGATTTAATGTAAAGACAAAGTTTATCTGTTTTTTGAAATCATCTTTTTGTCCAATGCAATTGTTTATGTGGTTTTTAGTCCTGAATGTTTGTGTTTAGGATTACTGCTTCTTATTTAAAACCATGAGTGATCAGAGATGTCAGAAGTATTCGTTTTCATTTGTAACATAACACTTCAAGCGACTGCAGGATTGTACCAGAACAAGGGTCGACTGCAGGAGCCTGAGTGGGAAATAAATTCCACCTCAAAGAAGTTTTCATAACATCAGATGAATTGTAACGACATAAATAGCAAGCGTGATAAGGGGGAAATGCCCACACACAATAATAAACAAACAATAATAATGTTGGGACAATATTAATAACAGTAATAATGAGAACAGGAAATGTGTATCCAAACTAAAGTAGACTCAACCAGGTAGAGGGTTGGGTTTCAGTCTTTAGTGGCTTTAACCACCATGTGCGATTGTCGGTATGCAACTGGAATCCAGCTAGCGTAAAAGTTCCAGCAAAGAGTTCCCAACAAAGAGCAACCAGTGTAGTATGGTCTTCGTAGTCCCACGTGTACAATACATGACCCCTAACCATATGTGGATAGTACCTACCAATAGGGTGTCAGGTTGATAGACGCTTAAAAGTTTTATCTAACTGCAATCAGACTTTCTCTGGATGGTGCGATTATCTGGATGGGTTTATTGTCTCTATGAAATATTTCTTTAACAATGGCAAGTGGAAGTGAAATGTGCATGATGAATATTTACTTCATACAAGGAGTAGAAGGTACAGATAACTGTGTGAAGCTCTAGGTGTAGAAGTAAGAAGTTTTTAATACATAATTACTCTGTTGTAGTATTGGCTCCCAAAGTTCTATTAAGTAAGATAAAGAGTTTCTACTTAGTCACTTAACACCTTTGTGAGTGATGTAGTCCTTCCTGAGAACTCTGTCCAGGCTAAATAGCTCCTGATCAGTAATCAGAAACATATCTGATTCACCTCAAGTCTGATGAACGTGAAGCTGACTAATCAGCTGCTATAATCTAAACGGCTTCATGACACGTTTTTCCTGTTTCTGTTAGTCGTACTTGACCTGCTGTGTTTCAGCTGCACCTCTGAAGGAGGCCTGAGTGCACTAAACGTGCAACTGAGTGGGTAATCAGCAGCGCCGATTGCTGCACGGTGAAGATGTCTGGGATTAGATATTCATGCTCTTCTTGCTCCCAAAAGAACAAAGTTTTTTTGCTTTTGAGAAACCTGATCCATCTTTGTCATAGCAGTCTCTTCAAATAGATACTTGACTACTAAATATGGGAATGCTGGTAGTTGGAGGTAGCTTCCTCAAGGAAGTTAGAAATCCATTAAATTTATAGATTTGTTTCCCTAATTTATTTCCAAATGTCAACTTTCAGCTTAATAAGAGTGAATTTAACTAGAAACGCAATCCGAAACGAGCAGATCCATCCTGTTTGTGCTCAGACTGAGCGGAGCGGTGGACAGTCACAGTAAGGAAAATAAAATGAAACAAAATAAACAATAACCTAATATATGTAAAGAACATTATTAACTTGGCATATTTAAAATACTCAATGCTGACCAAAATTCTGGACAAATATAAAACCACAACAAATACCATCAGTAGCTACCCTGGCCTGCCAGACTCCTCCTCTGTTTAATTCTGCACAGAGAAAGGCTCTGGGAACCCTCCTATTCAAATAGCCCCACCCCCTGAGACTTCTCACCGAGCCAATCAGCGCTGAGTAGCGTACGTCACACACCACAACGCTGAGTTTCTCATAAACATGGCGACTAAGCGGAGTTCGCTGCAGCTCTTTCCTCTGTTCTAAATGACTTGAATGTCTTTAAAACCACAACAAGCAGAAGCGCTAAAAGCATTTCTTCTAAAATAAAAAATATATGTTTGCGCCGTTGCTAGACGCCTTTTTTTACTACAGCTAAAACACTACAGCATCGCGTGGTACAGTCAGCATTTCCGTCTTTTTTTTCTAACTGGTCATTTTTGAGCTGCCTAGTCCCGCCCCTCACGTGCCTCTCTGCCTGCGGGTTACCAGACTCTCTCTCTGTTTCAGCATGGGCGATAATCAAAAAGTCCATTTGCCTCTATTTGAACCTACTAGCATTACAAATGCAAAGCTTTTTATCCTTTGATACACCAGAAAGTAACAAAGTACTTACAAACCCAGAGCCTTTACACCAGAGGTGCGCGCTTGTTTGCTGCCTGCTAAAACAATCACTACTTTCATTAGTTTAGCAGAAGCCGTGGGAGGCATGGGCCCTGATTCCTTCTATAAGGCGTCAACGCTAAACTAAGTGAAGGAACCGTTTCCTACAAGTGGACTGAAAGTGAGCCACCACTGCTCCTAAAGCCTGTTGAAAATGGCCAAATAGCAGTTTATGTTGCCAGATTCAGAGCCTTCGTGTTATCATAGTTTTTCACTCTTGCAGCACAAAGTGCAGTGTCCTCTTTAAAAAATAAGCATTAGCGCCTCAGGTTTTTGCTCCCATCAACATCATATACCAACATAGGCCCATTTATTAAATGTTTTGTATGAACTATAGCTCCCTCAGTAAAGGTCTTTATCTAAATGTCCCCATTTTTACAGAAGGAAACCATCAGAGAGCTTCAGAAGGAGAGTGGAATAAACGTAGCACATCGGCCTTCTGAAAACTGTGTGGTGAATCTGTTCCGAATGGAAAATCTACTCCTGAGGCTTTCTTCACTTCCTGACAGCATTACTCGCCCTTTACTGCATTTGACAGAAAGCAATCCCACGGTGTTTCTGTTCACTTTGTCCCTTCTTTCACTTTTCATTGTCCTTCACTGCTGTTTCATTCCCTCTTACCACACAGTCCTTTCTTCTCTGGCCGTCACCTCAGCTCTGTTTTCACTTTTATTGAACAAAAACGCAGCAGAAAGCTGCCGGTTCCCTTCTCTTTATTCATGCATTCTCCTGTGTCATTTCAGTCTGATTGTTCAAACTCTTTATGCACCATCAAAACGCAGGCAGCTTATCACTTGAGCGAGCAACAGGGAACCATTTCGTACCCTTGATGAACCCTATGATGGAGCGATTAGGAGGGCATACTAAAGGTTGTTACGGTAACATGTCTGCAACTTGCTTGCCCTCTCATAAGCAACCTTGTTTCAGTAAATTACGAATTAACAAGTAACGGGAAAGGTAGTTCTATTTTAATGCTAACCCAGGTTAAGTCTAGTTGCTAATAAGCAGAAATACGACAGATAATCTGTCCTGTTTGAAAAATGTCCCACAAGGAGGAATTTCCTGGCGACCCAAGAGGGCAGAGCTAGCAGTGAGACACAAACTGCTAACAGTAGGGGTGCAACGGATCATCATTGATTGGTGATCCTTACGGATCTTTCTCTATGGTTCGGCACACAGGCGGTTCGCGGATCGGTCACGTGGAGGACGGATGTGCTACCTGTTCAGTCCAAAGGAGAAACGCACAGCGGCGGTAATGAAGGAGGAGGAGAAAAACCACTTGCATTGTTTAGGAAGCATGTTTGGGAGCATTTTGGCTCCCCTTTAAAAAACAAAGATGACACAAACAGCAAATATTATGGAGGATGAAAGAAAAACAAACGGCGAGGATATGAGTGAAAGCTGAACACAACGGGAGATCCGATCCTTGACTGAAAACCACGACATTATCCGAACCATGAGATTTTTGATCCGTCGCACCACTAGCTAACAGATTTATTTGTTTTGTAAATTAAAGTAGTTATTAAAAATGTTGGACGTCGCCATGCCACGACTCTGACATAGTGAGTTTTGAATCTAGATGAGACTTTTTCAGCAGCACGGATCGAACAAACAACCTTAAAATAGTCGAGTTTTAGTTGACACAACCTCTAAACACTGGCTGCATTTCCAGCTGGACGACGAGCATCTCTCTCCTCCCATTTTTGTTTTTTGCATTTGTGTACTTGGCTTCTTGGTATCTACTACTTGTTGGTTGTCCTCATGCTCAAAACATGACTTATTATCCCAACGCCACTCACCAAAACACAAAACGAAAGCCAGCATATCTTTTACTAAGGAAAATGTTACTGGCATCATTGACCTGTACACACACAAAACTAGGGCTGTCAAGTTCTTGTGTGGGACACAATCCCCACTTGACAGGGATCATCTAGCTGGAGAAATATGCGCAGGATTCCACTCAGGACTTCATGGC